ATGGAAATACTAGAAATAAAAAATATGTCAGATCTAAAGAATTCCTTTCATAAGCTATGGGTAGATTCAACACAACTGAGGAGAGAATCAGTTAATATAGTTATTAAGATAAGTTAAGCAAAATTACTCAGACTGACATTCAAAAAGAAAAAGGCGATAAAAGCAGATATTGCTTTGGCAGCACATATACTAAAATTGGAACGATACAGAGAAGATTAGCATGGCCCCTGTACAAGGATGACACATGAATTCATGAAGCATTCCATATTTTTAAGTTCTAATTTCAACAGTAGAGTAGGGTGACTATAGTTAACAACAATGTATTATACATTTCAAAGTAGCTAGAAGAGAGGACCTGAAATGTTCTCAATACACATAAATGATAAATACTAAGGTGATGGATACCCCAAACACCCTGACTTGATCAATACACATTCTATGTGTGTAACAAAATATCATATGTACCCCCATAATCATGTAAAATATTATGTATCAATAAAAAGTGACAAGCATAAAAAAAGAAAAAAAAAGAAAAAGCAGACCAGGGCATCAAATAGCCATGGGACAATATCAAACAGGCTTATTAGTGCGGCACTGAAATCTCAGAAAGAGAAGATGGAGAAAATGAGGTAGATCTCAGTTTAGAGAACCTCAATCAGGATAAATATCAAGATGAAAGCACTCACACACATGCATACACACCTGGACACATCAAACTGCAGAAAATTAAAGACAGAGAAAAATTTGAAGGTTGACAGAAGAAAAAAAAGATACATTATATAAGAGGAACTAAAATAAGCTCAGAGTAGACTTCTCATCAGACTGTGCAAGCCAGAAGCAATGGAGTGACATCTTAAAAGGAAAATAAAATAAAAACAGAAACTGTCAACCCAGAATTTCAAACCCTTTCAAACCCAGCAAAAAATATCTTTCAAAATGAAGATGAAATAAAGATTTTTTTCAAGGTTGGTTAATAGGTATGGAAATACAGTTAGACAGAAGAAATAAGACCCAGTGTTCAATAGTACAGTAGGGTGACTATAGTTAACAATAATTTATTGTGTAGTTCAAAATAGCTAGAAGAATTGGAATGTTCCCAACATAAAGAAAAGATAAATGTTTGAGGTGATTAATATCCCAATTACCCTGATTTGATCATTAAACATTGCATACATGTATCAAAATACCACATTTATCCCCAAAATATGTACAACTAGAACTAAATTAGTTGATACAACTAATTATGTATCAATTTTTTTAAAAAAATTTTTTAGACTAAGAAAAGAAAAAAGCCGAGTGAATTCATTGCCAGCAGACCTCTACACACGAAGCATTAAATGACATTCTTCCAGCAGAAGAAATACAAAACTAGACAGAAACACAAAGAAATGAAGAGGTCCAAAAATGGAAATAAGTGAAGGTAAATAAAAAAGACTTTTTTTCTTATATTTAATCACTCTAAAAGATAAATTACTGTCTATGGCAAAAATTATTAACAATGTATTATGGGATTTGATGGCATATGAAAAAGTGAAATATACAATAGCATGATAGGAAATATTAGAATTATACTGTTGAAAGATTCTTATACTGTATGTATAGCAGTATACAATTATTTGAAGGAATTCAGTAATAAACTAGAGATGGGTATTGCAAACACTACAGCAAACACTAGAAACAGGGAGTGTATAACCAATAAGCCAATAGTGGAGATAAAATGGAATCCTAAAAAAGTTCAATTAATCCATATCCAAGTAGAAAAAGAAAATAAAAGGAACAAAGAACAGATGAGACAAATAGAAAAGACTAGCAAGATGGTAGATTTAAATTTAAATAATTCCATTAAGTGTAAAAGATCTAAATACACTGATTAAAAGTAAGAAGAAAAACAGTCTTCTCAGGCCAATTCACAATTCCTCACTAAAAAAAAAAAACCAAACCAAAACAAAAAACACTAAAAGGACAAAGGTAGCATTATAAATCAGTGAGGAAATGATGAATAATTCAATAAACAGTGCTGGGGTAAATGGCTATCATTATAAAAAAATAAATATAATTAGATTCTTACATTTCATGGTGTCTAACAATGCAAATAGAAGAAAGCAAGAGTCCTAACTCGTGAAAAAAGTATACCACTTTCTCAGCTCACAATTCTTTTTCTGAGAACTACACTTCTGGCCTCCGATACCCATGTTTGTTACTGTAATGGCTTATAGGTCACCTATACCCCAGCTATAGGTCACTAGACCTAAGATAGATACTTGTCCCAAGCTAGACCAAGCAGATTTTCTTTCAGAAATTAGAGTTTAGACTCAGTGGTTCTGGTTAATCTATATTATTCAACTGATGTGTTCTTTGAACTCAGGAACTGAGGCTTCCTTAGTGGGTGGCCATGTGCACAGAGGAACAGAGCCAGCATAAATATCTTCAGAGACAGATTAATAAGCAGCTGCACAGAGAATAACACAGAATGTAAGTTCTACTGCCTGGGGCAGGGGTCGGGGTGGTGGGGAGAGAGAGAGAGAGAGAATTGCCTCAATTACCAATCATTTCTCATTTTTACTTTCCAGAGAGGCCTGTTGGCCCATCATTTCTCTGAGAGACCCTTAAGATAGCTTAAAGTGAGTAACTGAAAGCATGAGCATTAGTTATATTACTAGGTTTTGCTGTCAGGAGACACAGAGAGGAGACTAAGCCTCTGTAGGCAATTTTTAAAATTTTTTATTTAAAAATTTATTTTAGAGACAGGGTCTCACTCTGTCACCCAGGCTGGAGTGCAGTGGCCAGATCATAGCTCACTGTAACCCCAATCCTAGGCTCAAAGGATCCTCTTGCCTCAGCCTCCTGAGTAGCTGGGACTGCAGGCGTGTGCCATCTTGTCTGGCTAATGTTTTGTAGAGACTGAGTCTCACTATGTTGTCCAGGCTGATCTCAAAGTCCTGGGCTCAAGCGATCCTTCCGCCTCAGCTTCCCAAAGTGTTGAGATTACAAGCATGAGCCACTATGCCCAGCACCAATCATATTGGTGTCAAGAAGGATAGCCACAGATGATCGTACTGGGCCCAACTGGTAAGAAGTGGAGTTCGGGCTATAAAGATGAAGGCTCATGCTCCAAAACTTACCCAGTCCATGACCTGCTGACCAGCTAGGCCAAAAATAATAGGTAGAAAGGGTAACTTCACTGGAATGTCACTTTATTAAAATGGTCAGCTTTCTGCCAGAAATGGCAGATTGTTTTCTTCAAATTACATACTACCCTGAAACCTCTGGCTTCCCTGAATATCATTAAGGCTTACAGATATCCCAAAAGCGTTTTCTAAATTGCAATTTAAAATATCTGAATGGTCACCAAATGCAATGGAAATGGGTCCTGAAACAGAATTAATAAAAACTCATGGGTCTACTATTCTGTTAAATAGAATAGTCCTTACTCTACCATAGAATACATTTTTTGAGTAGCTAAAGTATACTTTTTTCCAGATTATATTAAATTTTGCTCATTGCTTAGATGTTTCAACCTAAGGATGTTCACTCTCAAGTAAAATTTTGAGTGGAAAACCAATGAAGATTATATAAATCCTTATTTTATTAAAACAATACATCAATATAAAGGAGACTTAGATGTTTTGAGGTTTCCAGCAAGGTTTCCAAAGAATATAAAACAAGCAATAACTCAAATTTTCAGGATGTTAGATTGCCATATATCTTTAATTTATCTCACATTCCAAAAGAAGAAAGAAATTTCCATTACGGTTTTAAGGGCAGTGAACATAATATTTTTTTCCACATTTCATTCTAGCATAGTACTTAAGAGCAAGGAGTTGAAAGATTGCTCAGCTTCAAATTCTGATTCCACCATTTATTAGCTCAGTTATCTTACTAAATTTGAAATTGCTAAATCATTCTAGGCCTCAATTTCCTAATCTGTAAAATAAGATAATAATAATGTCTAACTAATAGGATATAGGGCACTTAGAATAGTACCTGATGAATATAAGAGCTTGACAGTATCCATCATATGTTTGAGATATGGTCCCATGAAAAGACTTTTAAAATTAGATAACAAAAACCACTGTAGAAAACTATTTCTCAGATTAATTTTCCAAGTTTTTCAAAGTGGTATAGATAAAAAGATAACAATAAAGTCCATTTGAAAAGTTTTTATAGTTATCAGATTATCAATAATAGAAATTGAAAAAGCTATCCATGAAACTGTATCAATTATCAAGTATTAGCATCTTGAAAATGGGTAGAAATACCTAGTTAAAATAAATACCTAGAAATAGCCCAGATGTCCATCAATAGGATAATGCATAAACAGTGATATATTCATGCAATGGAATATTACTTAGCAATAAAAAACAGCAACATGGCACCAATGCATGCAATAATATGGATGAATTTCAAAAAAATTACACTGAATGGAAGAAGACTTAACAAAAGAGTGCATACAGTGTGAGTCCATTTCTATGAAATTATAGAACTAACTCATGCAAAAATAACCTATGCAAAACTAACATGATTTGCTGGGGTGGGGTAAGAGTGGAGATTTACTGGAAAGGGACATGAGGGAATTTCCTGGGCTGCAATCATGTTCTGTATCTTGAGAGACGTTTGGGTTGTGCAGGTGTATACTTTTGTTAGCACTCATTGAATGGTATATTTAAGTTTCATGTATTTCACTGTTTGTAAATTTTACCTCAAAAGAAAAAACAAAAAAATATTGAACTTTAGTTAGTGATCTGGATGCTGAAGTATATGGAGGGAAGTATTTTCATGTCTGCAATTTACACAAAAATGCATAACAAATGGTTTGATGGATTGATAGAGGGATGGACAGGCACGTGATAAAGCAAAAGAACAATAAAATTTTAATTCCAGAATCTAGGAGGTGGTAGCTATATTGGTACGTACTTATTGTAAAATTCTTTCAACTTTTCTATATATTTGAAAACTTTCAAATAAAACAATGGAAAAAATAAATACTTTTTGTTTCTTACCAACGCCTAGAGTTATTAACAATCACTCCATTATCTATGGAGAATGCATCTGTTGGTAATCCAGCAATATTCCAAGCTCTAATTTTTACTGGATCACCCAAGGTCTTACTCAACAAGAACTCTTCCGAACATGGAATTTTTTTCTCCTGTAAAAAATAAACAAAAATCTGATGTTTTCTTTCATTTTGCTAATGGAAAAAAAAATTTAACTAAAATATTGATCTAATTGTTATTAGATACTATTTAATAACTCAAGGGAACAGAAAAAAACTGAATTAAAAGTTGGACTGTGGAAGTATTTTACTGATCAAACTAGAAGCAAAAAAAGAAATATTCCATATTTTTAGTTATTTTTTCTTTTCCCTGTCCTTATTATCATCCTTTCCCCCAACATACCCAAAGCATACAACAAATGTTCTAAAACAAAACTTACAAAATGTAAAACCACTACCTTGCACAACATGCTCCAATCTTGCGTACACGTTTGTCGAAAGCCGGAAGTGAAAGCACCAAGGTAGGCTATTACTCCTGCTGATACCAACACATCACCAGTTAAATTTTCATATGTTATCTGAAGATCATCTGCAGCTTGAGCCCATCTATATGATAAACCAAAGGCAAAATAGATTCACATTAGAGAATGATGGAAGACAGTAATTGAAAGGAAAAGGGGCTTCTAGTCCAATACTATAACAAAAAGCTATAAAATGTTGGGCACTTGCTTATCTGTAAAATGAGGAGGTTGGAGCCCTTCTACCTCTAATATGCTATGATACACATCCATGTCATACAAATGACAATCTTCTTTTCATTATTAAAATACTAGTCATTTTTTGTAGGACTTGGCCTTTCAGAATAACCAAAAACATACAAACAAAACATCAGCATTTTGCCTACCAATTTTCTCTAGGATCACTTGGTCTAGTGGCCCTGCTATTTATGTCAGTGTTTACTGTTGGACTGTAAAACATAGGGACATTTGCAATTAATTACCAAAAATTATATTTAAGTTGTATAGAAGCTGACATACTATTTTTAAGCTTGGTATCTTTTCAATTCAATAAAATCCTTACAATAAAAAGGTATATTCCATAATTATTTAATCTGCACTACAAAGTATTTTCTTATCATGCTATTCACTCAACAAATACAATCAATAAACGAAATAGCTAGCTGTCCAGTTCAAGTAGACAGATTAAAATAAAACTTAACTGTTTTTGTTAGATCAAGCCAGCTATATCTTCTTTGAAATAAAATTTAACCAAGTGAGCCATACATCCACTACTACCCCCAAACATTTTATTGCAAAAAATTTTGAACATACATAAAATTGGAAAGAATTGTACAACAAACAATTACATACTCACCACTTAGATTCAAAAATTGTTATCGTTTGCCTTATTTGCACCTCCCCCCCTTTTTTTAACCATTTGAAAGCAAATTGCAAACGCCATCTTCAACATTGATATTTCTATTTGGAGAGGCCTGACCAGGTGCCTTGTAGAATGTTCTACATTCTCAACCAGCCGTTGTAAAATCAGCAATCATATTATAATAAATGCCCAAAGTAGGTCACATATTCAAACTTAACATTCTCAAATTGTGTTAAAATGGATAGAAACCAGACCTTGATTTTTCTCCACCCAGTCCTCCAATTAGTTGTGAGGCTCTTTCAAGTTTCTTAGCACAGAGTTTCACTTGATCTTCTAAAGCAGCCTTTTCCTCCGTTTTCTCAAGAAATGTCTTTTGTAAATTTTCCAGATGATGTTCTACTTCTGCCAATTCTGCTCTCTTCTCATTCAAAATCTCCATTGTCTCAGCTAAAGACTTCTGAGCTTCTGTTAATCGAGCTTTCTTAGGAGCCACTACCTGTTTGGGAACAATATAAGCAGATGTGATGTGTACTATATAAAACTGACATCTATATAATTGCTTTTTAGATATCATGGATTAGAAATGCATTATAATAAATTACACAAAATGAACATTTTGCCTTAAATCTTATACCATATTTTTATATGAAATAAAGTAAAACACACCTATAAATTTTATAAAATATATAAATCATCTGGACTAGCAAACTGTTATCTATAAAATAGGTAAGTTTTTCTGGACTAACCAAATATCACAATATACAGCAAAAATGTCACGATATATAACAAGATGTCTCAAAATAGTAATAAGGAGCCACCCAACTGTTGTCAAAAAACAGGGAAAAACAAGTAACAGAAATAATATGTTTAAATACATGAATGTGTTTTTGGTTTTGGCAGTTTTTTTTTTTTCTTTTCAAGTTGGTGATCTTCCCAGTCAGATCGAAGCAAATATCTGTCTTCCTAGGATTAAGACTGTGATGGCAGAAATACAAAGAAAGAAATCCTTGATGTTCAGTTTTACTACCAAAATTGAATTTTCTTCAACAAATCTTGAAAAGTCACACTTTATTGAGAGAAAAGAAATTTTCTAAAGTTGTTCTTTGTTATACTCATTAGCATGTCAAGAATGGGTTTGGCCAACTTGATCACTGAATGTACTCCAAGCTCCTGGTACAAAGAATTTAGAAGGTGACCAAAGAGAGTTTGTGCCAGTTGGAAAGAGGCTAGACCTAATCCTTCTGGTAAATTGCCACGAATGAAGCTGAACACAGAGGGATGAGAGAGAGAGCAAGGTATCAGACATCGAATGTCCTGCTTTCTCTCCTCTGGGCTGAAATCCTGAAGGAAGATGTGTTAAGTAAGTAGATAGAAAGTGGGAAGCTCCCTTTTCTACTTTTGAGTTCAGAGGAGACATTAATGGGTATCTCCCCTTCGCCCTCCTCCTGTATCAATATGGGGCATCTGCATCAGAATAGAAACGGCAGTGTGGCGGTATAGAGAGGGAAGGCAGGAAAGAGCCTGAGTGCCTTGGCTTCTCTGCTTTCTAGAAACAATCCAGAATATTTCACATGCCCTGTGGGACATGTGGAAAATAGCTGAGTTGACAGCTAACAGGGCTGCCATGAGACTACTATGTGATGGGACAAGATGTTCAATGGAAGGACGTCCAAGATAAAATTAATTTTTCTTTAACAGGTTGTTATACAGGTCTACTCCCCTAAAACTAATGAAGTCCCTGCCTTTCTACAGGCACATGTTGTATCTCACTTAGGAAGATCTTGCCAATTGTCACAGCCTGATCATTCATTCTATCCTCTGCGCTTGTCTTAAACACATGCTACCACATATTTTCATCTGCCTTTTTACTTATATTTCCCGCTTCCCTGGGTAGAATTCTGTAAGCTACAGAGAGTTAAGGCCTGTGTTTCCCTGGTGCTTTGCTAGCCAAATTTGCAAAATGCTCTTAACCATTCTCTGCTGTCTCAGGAATTTGGCGGGTATTCCATAAAAGGTTCCCTATCGATGCATGCCATTCTTTCAGGGGATCTTTCCATGCCCTGCCTCTTAACTGGATCTTCTCATTTCTGATCCTTTGAATCAACTTTTTAATCTGCCACTTTGCCCTTGATGTTGTGGATTTTTCTTTGCTTCTCGTCTCCCCTCATCAAATTCTAATTCTTTGCCCCAGGTCCCTACAGTTACAAGTCAGTCTGGCCAATTCCACTGACTGTCCTTGCTCCTGCAGCACTACCACCCACACCAGCCCCACCCACCAGCTTACATCACACTCACATATTCTCTTCATCTGCTAGGTATGTAATCAATATCTGATGACATGCTGCAGCAGCACAACTTCTCCCTAGGGTCACTTTGAGAAACTTCTTAACTGGTAAATATGTGCATAAATTTTAATTTCTGAGAATATTTTAGTAGAAAATATTGTGCTAATCTTCAAAATACCTTTGCAACTCTGTCATACACCTCCATAGCCATGATCCACTTACATAGACCCTCAGCTGCAGAAGAAGCTTTGGCAACCTTAGGAGGGTCAAATTCAGGGTTTGTTAAGTATTCACCACGAATCTTCTGCATAACACTCATCTATACAACAAAGATTTAGATTATAAAATTTCAATATAGATCACATAATCATAAGATGAAAAAATAACCATATATAATAAAAACAATTGTATAAAAAAGTTATGTTGTCTTTAAAAACCAAAACCAATATTTTGAGATGATTTTTTTTTTTTTTTTTTTTTGAGACAGAGTCTCACTCTTTTGTCCAGGCCAGAGTGCCGTGGCGTCATCCTAGCTCACAGCAACCTCAAACTCCTGGGCTCAAGCAATCCTCCTGCCTCAGCCTCCCGAGTAGCTGGGACTACAGGCATGCGCCACCATGCCCGGCTAATTTTTTCTATATATTTTTAGTTGTCCGATTAATTTCTTTCTAATTTTTTTTAGTAAAGACGGGGTCTCGCTCTTGCTCAGGCTGGTTTCGAACTCCTGAGCTCAAACAATCTGCCTGCCTCGGCCTCCCAGAGAGCTAGGATTACAGGCGTGAGCCACCGTGCCTGGCCTTGAGATGATTTTAAAACAAGTACAATCGTAGCAGAAACCCAGATCATATTTGTGAACAAAATATGCAAATTTGTTGCAGATATAGAGGGAAGATTGTTTTTTTGTTTTTAAAATTTTTTTGGAAGAGGTGAGGTCTTGCTATGTCACCTAGGCTAGTCTTGAATTCTTGGCCTCGAGTCCTCTGGCCTTGGCCTCCCAAAGTGCTGGATTATAGGTGTGAGCCACCACACCTGGCCTGAGGCAAGATGTTTCTTCCAAAAATATTAAAAGACTTGTAGGTTGAGAGGAAATGGAAACAAGGGAAAAGAACAATTAAACATTAATTTGTCTTTTTTAATATTTTGAGATTTTAAATAATCTGTCTTTTTTTCTTTCTTTTAAGTTAGCTAACTTCAAGATCCATAAGCATGAATTAATAAATAAGAATTTCAATGGAAAAGAATGTACTATACTTTTTTTAACCTTACATAAGTTTGTGCATCAGATTTCTTAGTACAATAAACTATTTATTACAAGAAGACATTTAGAAAACTCTTTCAAGTCAATAATCCACTGAAACAGTAACTTAATAAATAACTTTCTCTTTTTATTCTTTTTTTTTTTTTTTTTGAGACAGGATCTCACTTTCTTGCCTAGGATGGAGTGCAGTGGCATGATCATAGCTCATTGCAACCTCAAACTCCTGAGCTCAAGCGATCCTCCTGCCTCAGCCTCCTGAGTAGCTAGGACTATAAGTGCATGCTACCATGTCTGGCAAAATTTTAAAAAATATTTTGTAGAGACAGGTTTTTGCTATGTTGCCCAGGCTGGTCTCAAACTCCTGGGCTCAAGTGATCCTCCTGTCTTGGCCTCCCAAAGTGCTCAGAATACAGGCATGAGCCACTGTAACTTAAATAACTTTCTAATTATCTGAAAGAGGAATGGTTTTACATATCATGAGAATTCAAAATATAGCCATTAATAAATGTAATATCCTTTTATTAATTATATTAATCCTAAAAATGGACTATCTACTTATGTTTTATAAAACACTGCATAATGTTAAAGATCTTATACATCTTGGCAAAGTCACATTTATACAGAAAAATTCAATGCAACTCACTGGAATGTTGTCCTTGTCATATTCTTTCAAATCTCTTAAGAAATTCATATCTCCCAGAAGTTTTTTGCTAGGTGCCCAGTAATCTAAGATCTATAAATAAAATTTATGAAAACTTATTAAATGTACAATTAAAGATGCTTGATGTAAAAACAGTTTTCAGATATATTATCCAGAGAAAATGTTCATATACTTTCAAAATATCAACTTACATCTTGGAAATTAAGACTCCTCTCCCTGAGAACATGTTAAATATACAAAATATTTTAAATATGGACATGAACTTATAGTTTGGATTTGTTATAATAAAAATTAAACATTGAAAGGAAAACGATGTGATTATTTCTTTTGAAAACTTAAGAAAAGCAACTTACATAAACACCAAAATAATTTCATATAAGAAAATAAATTTTTATTACTTCAACTTTTATTTTTCTTATTATTTGACTCTTTCAAACAAGAAAAGTAGCAAACATTTTTCTTAAAGCCAACCAACCTCCTTACCCACCTAGACTCTCCAAGTGAAATAGAAGAGAAAGCAGAAAGCCAAAGATTAAATATTGTTTTACCAGTTATAGGGTAAAGCACATACTACTTATGCTGGTAACAGATGATGGAAAACTACCTGAACATTCTTTTTCTTACTTCCAGAAATTTGACAGGGGTCTGTGTGTGTGTGTGTGTGTGTGTGTGTGTGTGTGTGTGTAAATGAGAATAACTTGATAAGGTAAGAGCCTACTTATTTATTATTATCTCAATGAAGGATAGAAGGGCCAAAAAAACCCAAATCAATTCTTCAATTCAGGAATTCTCTTTTTTAATTTATTTTTATTTTTTCTTTAACCCTGAGGCCAGCTAGACAATTCAGGAATTCAAACCCAGGTATTGTAAAAACCTGAGAAGAAAATAAGTTTGTAAATTTAGTTTAGGATAGATACTATGCCTTCCTTTTTAACAGATATATCCTTAAATAATAATTATTAATTAACTTAAATAATAATTATAATGACAGCTAACATTTATTGTGAGCTCACTATTTGTGAAGCTTTGTACGTAAGTATTAACTAATCTAATCCTCACATTAACTTTGTCAGGTAAGCATTATGATTACTTTTTTTTACACAGAATCCCACAAAGGTTAAGCACCTTGCCCAAGGTCACACTGCTAACAGGGTCAGGATTTCCGAATACAAACATTCTGGCTCCAGAGCATATGCTTTTATTAAAAAACAACATCACTATACTGCTTAACTTGCAGAATTTTTTGAATGCTCAGAAATAACACCTATGTGTTATGTATCACATTCTCAAGAATGTTAACTGGAAAAGTGCAGGTACATCAGTGTTTGTTCATTCCAACCCTAAGACGACGGAAATTCCTGCACAGACAGAAAAGGAGATAGAAGCAACTGGAACCACATTTTTCTGACACTATACTGACTTAGCTTTACCCTAAAATACATATAGACAGCATTTCCCATAGTTTATTCTGAATCCATTCAATCTGGAAAACCATTTTTCTTCCTTGGATTGGGTACTGTTGATATTTACTGGGATAATAGTTGCTGAAAAAGTTCTGTACATTCATGAATAGGATTTAAATCTATGTCCAGTTATTACCTTGCCTCCAGTGCCTGAAGGATCTGAAATTTTTTCTGGTTTTATATCTTTCATGACACAAATAGCAGCCATAACTAGTTTAACACCAGATGGAGGATTCTTCATTGATTTCACAATTGTAATGTCGGCTGGCTAAATAAAACCAAAACCAAAGAAACAGGACATCATCATAAAAGCACTCCTTTTTATTTGAAATTGTAATTTTTTTTTTAGTTTGTATGGTTATGAAAGAATTAGCAAAAGAGAATTTAGCACTGATTAAGACTACTGGTTTCTAAATGTTTGGGGAACACAGTGATAAAACAGTCAAATTAATGCTCATGGTCGCCTAGAATGGATGCTGCCTAAAAACAAGGCTTTGTCAAACTAAGTGGCTGCTATGATTAACCTCTAAGGAGAGAATGAAGAAAGATCATGGGGTAGCCTGTGATAGTAAATGTACCAGAGAGCATACAGAAAGAAATAAGCTCAGGGTTTTAAATTTCTGGTTCACGGCACAGGGAGAATATTAGGAAGTTTCTATAAATGCCCTAAAATAATCTCTTGTCTTATAACTACAAGGCTGATGTAACTGCAGATCAGATAGAGTTTGATCCTGTGAGATGCTGAATTACCCAAGGTTGAGGTCACAGTCTGACATGAAAGTTAGGAGGCTGATTTGGAAACAAGGCAAAGAATGGGATCTGAATATCCTGAGCCACCAACTACACTGGGCATCCCTCGTCAACAGATGCTGTCTTTCTTGCTCTGCTTGGTGAAGTTGTTCTGGTCTTGCCTAAAGACCCTATAAAAAGTCATATGCAACACAGTGTGGTACAGTCAGGTGCCACTCACAGCTGTATTGGAAACAACCTTTAAGTTTTTCTGTGCATGCATGTCCAGGAGGCTGCAGAAATGTAGCTCCACCCTCTATTTAACATATGCCTCCTGGTCCATGTACAGAACCACTTTGGCCTCTTAGAGCCTGTTCATCCCATTCCCACTGGAATATCCCAAATGAAAATTATAAATAATATATTAAAAATAAAAATATAAAAATTACAGTATATCAAAGAAGGACTGTTAAGACTGTTAAGAACTGTTAAGAAGAAACTGCAAGTTTCACTTGACTGAACAAAAACAATATACTATCACCCAGTGAAACAGAATCATGCCTAATTAACCAAGCACAGTTTGCCTTTGTTGATGAAACACAGGTCGCTAATTCAAACACTTGCCTTAAGCGTATCCAGTGCAGACAGAGCTGCTTCCAAGGCTGGAATTGCCTCAGCGAGGTCACTTTCGCACTCATTTTTGAGAGCTTGGGCTTCTTCAGCCTTCCCACTGGCTAACACTTCATCTACTTTCACAAACTTTCTTTTTGCTTCCACTTGGGCAGATTCTATCTCAATAACCTAAGAAAAGAAAGAAAAAATAGAGACAATTTCTCAAACATCCTATTGTTTTATCAATCCTAGAGATAAAAGAATATTCGGAAATTAGGGAACCCAACATATCATTTTGTAGGATAGAGGGGTCTAGAACAAAATGAGGAGAAATGCAAATATATGTGATCTAATTTGGAAATGGGCTTACCACCTCCCTTTAAAAATGATAGAACTCGGCTGGGCACAGTGGCTTATGCCTGTAATCCTAGCACTCTGGGAGGCTGAGGCAGTAGGATTGCTGGAGGTCAGGAGTTCAAGACCAGCCTGAGCAAGAGCAAGACCCTGTCTCTATTAAAAATAGAAAAATTAGTCCAGCATGGTGGTGAGTGCCTTTAGTCCCAGCTACTCGGGAGGCTGAGGCAGGAGGATCGCTTGAGCCCAGGAGTTTGAGGTTGTTGTGAACTATGATGACACCACTGTACTCTAGCCAGGGCAACAGAACAAGAATCTGTCTCAAAAAAAAAAAGAACTCACATGGGACCCAATGAGACAGCCAGTCAATAGAAAAGGGTAAAGTCCCTAAACTGTAGTGGCAAAAAATTAAGGCTTATCTTCAAGGCCAATTTTATATATTTCAATTGTCCTTTGACATCAATAAAAAATATTGAGGATACTTTACCTGCATCATACGTGCATTTTCAATTTTAGCTTCCTCCAATTTGGGCTGTAATTGAACAAGCTCAATTTGCATTTCACCAACCTAAATAGATAATTTGTCATTAAGTTTCCACTGCTATAATTATTACTGAAACCAAACACAGAAAATTCTCTGCATGTTTAACATGAAAGTTCTTTGCATGATAAACAAAATCATGAGAGTGTGGACAAGTTTTCTTCACAAAAGACTTTCCCTTCCTTGAGTATATGACAGGGCAGCGGGAACACACAGTTGCCATGGAAGAAATACAGATAGAAAAGAAGGCAGTAGCTCAGGGTATCCCCATTATACTATGTGCATGGCATGCAATGCAAAGATGAACCAACTGAACCTCTATTACTTATGTTGAAATAACACTAATAAGTATTGCTAGAACTTGTTAATTAAAAAAACCTCAAATCTTATATTTAACCAGCTGTTACAATAAAAGGCAACCTAGACTTATATTCTCTCAAATGCCAAAAAATTAATTAAAAATAAAACAGCATGTTTTTTAGTCTATGTGGTCTGGGCAACCTATTGAACTTCTCTGAAACTTACTGCACTCATCTGTAAAGTGAGGACCATAAAAGTGTCTACCTCATGTAGTTGCTATGAGTAACCGAAGGAATACGTATGAAGTACATAACATGGAGCCTGACATACAACATATTATCAATAAATCGTAGCTCTTATTTCTTATATTTCCCAGTATATAATACCATTTTGAGTAGCTCCTCCAGTTTACCTGAGACTCAGCAAAAGCTAATTTGTCAAGCCCATTTACGTATCGTTGCTTTGCTTCCATGACAGCTTGTCGCTTTTTAGTCAAAAGCTGTCGAAATGAGCCAATAAGTTCAAGATAAGACGTAGCAGTAACATAGTTATGTCGTCCTAACTCTTGCAAGAATCTAAAAGAGAGATAGGTAACATATCTCACTGTAAGTAATGTACATCACAAAGAGGTAAATTCAACATACCATTAACAACAAAAATTAAGAATAAAAGTTAAGTTTTATGCAGAAGCTGTTCAGTACTTGAATGTTATAAGACTCTAGAATTCTACATATAATCACATCCTAATTTCTTGCCCGCAGAATATCAAATAGCAATGATATATTTAAAAAGCACAAATCAACAAAGATGTCTATAAAAGGTAAACTACAGCAAGAAAGATATTAGGCTTTTTTGTACATGTTTCATAAGCCAGGAGGATCTAACTTTGTAAGGGATCTAAGATATTGTGTAAGCTAGGCAAGTATAGTACGAAAGGGGATTGCAGATAGGATAGCAAGTATCATTCCTTGCACACGTATGTCACATGTTAGCTAAATGGGATATGGCCAGAATACAAGACTGTTTTACATACACATGGAAACAAAGGAAGTAATGATGTTTTGTGGTAAATACAAACTACCCTGCTTGGTGCTACTGTCCAAGCCAATCATGCTGGCTGGCTGTATGACTCTGGGTAAGCAATATACCATGAGCACTTAGATTTACCCATCTTTGAAATGAGGACCTCAGAGATGAACAGAGGTAAAACAGACACTTCGGAGGTATCTACAACTCACCAACCAGATTCCATTCTCTAAGAACTTCCACCCAGTGACTCCACAGCATGTTTGGCCTATGAAACTTGGCATCCTAACCATACCTGTTCAGACCAGGGTTGGATACTTGACACAAATGAGGCTAATCACATTTTGGAATAAATTTGGAATGGGGAGCTAGAAACAGCCAGTTAGTCTCTATCTACAGTTGGAACTGCAAGAAGTAAATTTGAAAGCTGAGAGGCAGCCAGTTTCCTCCAAATGCACTGGAAAGTAAAACATTCAGTTTATAAAGGGAAAGAAGACAATGGATGCCCAGGGAGAAGCAGGAATGAGAAACAGAAAAAGCATTTCTGGGTTTCTGATGGCCTTCTAACTCCAGCCACTTCTGAGATTAAGCTGTATTCTTTCCCTTAAGCTTTGTGAGACACCTTTTTTGTATCTTTATAATGAAGCTCCCCTTTTGTTAAAGCTAGATCAAGTAGTTTTCTATTTCTTATAGGCTGAGGATCTTAACTAAATGATCAGAAAGATTTAGAAGACATAGAACTCATATTAAAAATTCGGACTTCCATAAAAAGAGATGCTTTAAAATACAAGGCAACATTGTCATTTTTAAATTTATTAATATTAACCTTTCTGAAAGATCCATAATAGAGGTGTGGAAGTGTTTACAGATTGGAACTATTTCTTCTCGTTCAGCCCCAGTAAGCTCCAATGTTTCTAAGAATTTCACAGCTACAAGTTCAAGAGCATCTTCAGGCCATGACTAAAAATAAGAAAAAGAAAAATGCCATTCTTTTACTGTCCACTTATGCTTGCATTGAATCTCCAATTTTCAGTTCATTGCTTAAATCCCTCGGGTACCTTGCATACCACCTGTGACATATGGCCATCTGCCTTACAAACTGAGACAGGGTATCAATGTTGATCTATATGAAATATTTCATATACAAACATTTCATAAATTGCAAAATCCTCTAAATTGTTTTGGCACCCCTAGTAAGTATGTACCCTACTTTGGAGACTACAGAGTGTCTTTCTGACTACATGACATAGAGTAGTTTACACTCACTTCCTAAATTTCATGAACCGAGGTCCCAAACAATGCCATCAGCTTCTCTGACACAGTCTCTATCTCCCTAATATGTGGGTTTTGGCTACTTAATGGAAGCAATATTAAGATACAGTTTGCATAAAGCAAAAGTATTTGATATAGTTTTTATTGTTGTCTGATCACAAAAAACATCCACTAGCTAAAACATATGTATAATACTCAAAAGGGCAGAATTAGTTTTTCAAACATGCAATTGATAATGAATAGGCAAAAAGCAATAAAACAAATTAGTACCAGAAATTAATTTTTAAAAGAACTGTACAGGGTCTATGTACAGTTCACATTCTATTGGGCATAAAACAATTAAATAGAAGGTACCACGAACTATTCTCAAGAGGGCAAATACTTAATGGTCTTAAACAAGTGGTAATTTGTCTTAAGGTTAAGTGAGGCAGTGGCCTTCATCACTTGCTGCCAGTATGACTGAAATTGTTGCCCAGTTGGTCTTCCTGGCTCTTGTTTTGTTCCACTCCAATTCATTCACCATACAATCTCGAAGTGTTTTTGGTTTTTTCCTAAAATATAGATTAGCTAAAAATAAGTTAATGCTGCTGTGATATCTTTGGTATATAACCAAATTCCTAGGAATACCTTACAAATCACTTTATAACCTGGCACCCACCCAAAGCTCCAACTCAATTCCTGCCGTCTTCATTGCCAGTCAGCTATACCGAACTATTCATAGTTGCCCAAATGAGCCATGCTCTCCTCATACCTGCAGGAGTTAACATTTAAATTGATAGACTGAGTAAAGCAGATTGCCCTCACTAATGTCAGTGGGCCTCATGCAATCAGTTGAAGGCCTTAATAAAACAAAAAAATGATCCCCCAAATAAAAGGGAATTCCTCTTGTCTGACTGACTTCAAGCTGGGGTACTAGTTTTTTTTCTGCCTTCAGAACTGAATGAATAGGCTCTTCCTGGGTCTTGAGCCTGCTGCCTTCAGACCGGAGCCACACCATTGGCTCTCCTGGGTCTCCAGCTGCCAACTGCAGATCTTGGGACTTGTCAGGCTCTATAATCACGCAGTTCCTCATAATAAGTTTCTCATAATAAATTCTTCTAATAAATTTCTTTACATATAAATCTAGTGATTCCTAATCTCTCTATGTAACTAATTCATCTTTATACTTCAAAAATTCACTGTCTTCATATGTGTATCTTTTGCATACCAACATTGCGGCTCTTTTATATAACTATGACTACTGATTGCCTTTTTGTCTTTCAGTTCAGAGTGTAAACTTCCTGCAGGGATCAAGTAGTCTTCTCAGTCCCTCATGCTGAGCATTATGCCTGTCATTATAGTAAGTGATCAAGAAACACTTGCTGGCCGGGCACGGTGGCTCACACCTGTAATCCTAGCACTTTGGGAAGCCAAGACGGGAGAATCGCTCAAGGTCAGGAGTTCAAGACCAGCCTGAGCAAGAGTGAGACCCTGTCTCTACCAAAAATAGAAAGAAATTAATTGGACAACTAAAAATATATAGAAAAAATTAGCCGGGCACGGTGGTGCATGCCTGTAGTCCCAGCTGCTCGGGAGGCTGAGGCAGAAGGATCGCTTGAGCCCAGGAGTTTGAGGTTGCTGTGAGCTAGGCTGACGCCACGGCACTCTAGCCCGGGCAACACAGTGAGACTCTGTCTCCAAAAAAAAAAAAAAGAAAGAAACACTTGCTGAATGTATATTAAGGAAGTTTAAATAAATTTCAGTAAAATTTTAAAAGAGTTAGTTGCCCACTCCCCACAAAAAATTACAAACCTGAAACCAGTCAATGGTACAGCAATTGATGAGGGACGGGAACTGTCTCAAGCGATTTCGAAAGGCATCTCCAATGGGGCTAAAGGCCACTACGACATGAAGATTATCTTTGCAGCGATTCACAAAGAAAGCAAACAGGGCTAAGGGACTGAGTTCATCATGTTTATTGCCAGCCTGGGCTACTGGGCGAACACCCTAGGGAACATCAGAAAATAAAAACCTCATAAATAAAAATAGATGAACTGATAATGAGATTAGCAGATATTAGAATATGAAGAAGTTTCATTACTCCCTGTAAATATCTTTTAAATTTTGGTTTTATAGCAATAGAATGTCTTTGATATAGTTTACACTTAAAAAACCTCTTCCAGCTCCATAAATCTATAATTTAAAAATAAATTATCTGCCAAAAATTCACCTTATTAAGATAATCCCAAAAGTTCACCAAGATATATGTACAGGACTATAATTCAACATTATTTTTAAGAGAAAAAAAATGGAAACAACTAAAGTGCCCATCAGTAAGGAACTGGTTAAAAATGTAAAACATCCACATACTGGAATTTTAAACAACTATTAAAAATAATGAGGCATATCTATGAGTGGTATGGGAAAATCAGCAAGATAAAGTGAATGAAATCAAAACAAGCTGTGCAATAGTATGTAGAATACGATCCTCTTTGTTAAATTAAAAAAAACAGATGTATATAAGACATGCAAATATAAAGTAGAAATACTGAAACAATGGAAACATTTGGTAGCAAAGTGATGGGAAGAAAAGAGATAATAGCTAAAGCAAGCAGGAAAGCCTAGCAAAACTCAGGAAATCCCTTCCCCAAAGATAACTATTCCTTGGATGGAAGTATAGTAGATGAATTTCTCCTATGAGTTAGGAAAATCACCATTAGTCAGCAGCCTTGGCCACATCCCTGACATATCCCAGATAAAAGCAAAGAACTTGTTGGATCTTTTTTCTTTTTTCCTCCCCACTACAGGCCACGAACTGGTAACGTACCATTTACTGACGGCTTTCTAAGTGCCTGGCCCTACATCAATGCTTTATTTTGTTTGATTCTCAGACCTCACAACAACCCTACGTAGGAGGGTTGTTGCTCCCACTCCATAGAAGAGAAAAGTAAAGTGCTTGAAGTACGAGGGTGAGTCCATTTCACTCCAGATGCTATCACTGGAGGTTGGGAATGAAACATCCATGTACAAGTGCTATATTTTCTGAGTAAAAGTAGTTATGGTGATAAGAAAGGGGGAAATTACTAGCAGAGATTTTGTGTGGGAAGGTCTTAGAAATGGGGGTCAAAGTACGTGACATCTGACAGTAGTGGGCACTTCAAAATTGTATTTTTTTTATTAAATCACAAAGACTAACTTTCCGATATATCAGAACGGTAAGACAAGTAGCTTTATTAAGACTTGAAAATTTACTAACCAGTGGTAAGGCTAATCAAGTAGCATTAAAGTCATGTTTTCTTATATCAATGTAACCCTAAGAGATAATTTTAAAATCTCTAATCCCTCATAAAACATGCTAAATAACATTAAACAGGTGAAACAAACTGCCATGATTATGAAGATAGGAATTATAAAATAAAAATTCTGTCTCATAACTATAGTATAAGCAATTTAAAATTCACCAAAAAATGATGTGTTAAACTAATATGCTTAAAATTTTTAATTACAAAAATCATCTACACAAGCTATATGTATCCTAAAGAACAGAGAAAAGGTTTCAAGACAAGAAAATTCCTGTGCTGAGAGCAACACTCCCCCAAAAGCATTTACCTCCATCACTTCTTGTTTTTCATCTGCTGCAAAAATGTTAGGCACTTCTCCAGTATTGAGTACACTGTCAATATCCTCTAGAAAAGCTTCTTCTTTAATCTGAGTGTCTGTGATTAGAAAGACTGTCTTCTGGCCCCTCATGCCTGCATTTCTTAACAGAGCCTTAAAATAAAAATATACTTATAAGCAGAATGTAGTGGACATCTGATGGTTTTGCTTTCCCTCCTTTCCCCCTTCTTTTGATAACAACACTTTGATTTTAGGGCAGTAGCTCTCCCCACTTCTAGTGTGGCTATCAATTGGGGCCACCATTTCTCCCATTCTCTAGGTGGGAGACCCAAACTGGTCAGAGTTTCCCCAAACCCCTAGACATAATCATTAATTCAGAGGAAGACATGTGATTTAAGTAGGCCACAATTATAGTCTTACTTCAGGGACTGAAATGGACTTGAAAACAGAAAGAATCCCTGTCATTCTGAGATGGAGTATGTAAAGGCCAGTAATCTAAACTACTTGAGGCCTCACGGAATGCGACTGCTGGAAAAGGAAGCCAAATGGAGGAGAGTAGTGCCAGGAGATAGAAAGAGTAATTACTAAGGACATAATCTGAGCCCCTAAATTCAGCCATGTCAAAAACCTATCTACCTATGGATACTTTGGTCTTATAAGCCAGTAACTCTTTTTATTTGCTTAAACTAGTTTGAGCTGGGATTTCTTGGGTCAATGGCAACTAAAATTTTCAACTAATGTAAAGATATGGGCTCAGTAGTGTGTGCTGGAGCTGACTTGTACAGACTTGTTGAAACTGATTGTTAAAATTTCACGAACTTGTGGCAGGTTGTTAAACACAACCAGGATTAA